TATTGGCAAATTATTTCAAAATGAAATTCGAAGGAAGTGAACTATATGACTAAAGGAGTTAATTGTTGCTTTATTTTTAAGTTTTAGCTTGCCATCAAGTTTTATTATTTTCCGGTAAATATTTCTTATTGCATTTTAGAAAGAATCCAGAAATCTTCACAAAAAATTTTGTACCCTGGTTTGTATTCTCTTTAAGATAGTTAATAAATAAAATATAAAACAAAGATTGATTTTATAACTCCAAGATACATGGTAATTCCATCAACTCCGATACTTACCGGTTTGGGCTGAACTGTTTCCCTACAAAAAGACGACTATCTCACTCTCTCTGCTAATAATCCTCTGATTGTTAAAACAACAATATTTCTAAACATGAACATTAACAATATATATTTTTCTAGTAAAGGTAAAAATCCTTTAATTTAAAATATACATAATAATAAATAGAATACTAATGACCCATCCATGTATCTAATAAGGTTTGGGAGAAACTAGGAAATCGTCTGAACTGCGATCACTTTTGCTACAATAATAATTGTAATTGTAGTAATTTGACTAGGATGCTAAAATTACCATCAACAGTACGACTGGCATCAAATATAATGCTACCCAGTAAACTACCACTATGCACAAACAGACCATTATTTCCCACTTCGACAACAACACAAAATAGTGGATAATATGTCAGAAATGATAGCAATAGATGGGTCAAGTATGAATAATACAGATTACATTGATGAAAATAATATAACTGAAAACTCATTGCTATCAAGAAATTCATTTGAGTGCATCGGTTATTATGGCGCTGAAATGACAAGATCGAGAGAATACCGAGATTCAAACCAGAAAGAAAGATTGGCTGTTTTTGCTGCAATTTTACAACATAGTTACAGTTCTAATATTAAACATCGTACATGGAGTAGCATTTGGTAATTGATAATAATATTAGTATATTGAAAAGTACAGTGTATATCAGTAAGGATTAACTTTTTTAAAACGAATTAGGTATTATATTATTTCCTACTCATGATCACAATAACAACAGTAACGTGAAATTATTTAGAGCTTATAAATATATTGGAATGGCAATGTTTTTTACGAGGTAAATTATATAATAATAATCGTTCACTTTAATCGAATTTGTTTAATTGGCTAATGATCCTTTATCAATAAAGTTGTATTGTTTCGAAAGTCGTAAGTTCAATTTTTGGTAGCCTTCAAGGAGGAAATATAATAATAATACAATGTAAGTATTTTTAGGAAAAAAAAATTATAGATCAAAATTTCATGATTAATAAATGATCTTTTTTCTTTTTGTTTTAAACAATAATAATAGTAACAACCCCATGTTGGGAATTGATTTTGTGAGATTGACAATGAAATTATATATATATATATTATAACTAGAGTCAAGTTCAACAGGATCTTCTTCCCTGCTGATTTTGCTAAGCTCATTATTATACATTGCTGTATTCAATTTATTTTTTTTAACATGTCATATAAAATATTTTTTCTTTTGGTTGAATCAAAAATACATTTTTGGTATAACATAAAATTGCATCACCCGAGTAATGATAATACCAAGACCATGCAGTGATTTTAAAAAAGCCACATAATAATGTCTTTCCTGGCGGGTAGAAGACAGGGAATTTGGTAGAGTTGGAGATAAAAAACCCCTTTTCCTCTACTTGGTTCCCTTTTCTTGTGTGTGTGCACTTTCCAATTGCACACAATTACAAGTTGTAGAACTTTTTTAAAAATATTTCCAAATGAATAAATCTGATGTTTATTATAAACAGGGTTGGCATTGAACATGTTCAAGATGTATTTTGACTTGGTGTTCTTGATGATGGAGGTTGAATTGGTGACGAATTTGGTTGGGTTTGTGATTGAGATTGAGATGGTAGGTTGGAGTGAGGTTGTGTGGTGATGCTGTTGTTGATTATCGTGGATCTACAGCCAATGCCAACCCTGATTTATGGGTGTCAGATTTAATAAAAATTTCCTTTCACAAACAAGCAAGCGTCATGCGATTGCAAACCTCAATAACTGTAGAATTCTAATTTTTTCTACAGGTA